CTGAAAAACATGCATTGTCTTCTTGGTTATCAGTATTTATGAATTTATATTTTTAATTTTTTTTATTACAGAATTAACGAAGTTTTGATAAGTTTAAGACAAGTCTGAGTCGCATGCAGTATCCTAAGTATTGGTCAAGCCAGCACTGCTTAACTTTGGCAATCAAACGAAAACCACTACTTTCTGTATATCCTGACAGTAAGACCCTAACCCAGACCCTATAGGATTGACGTTACAAAACAACACAGTTAACAAGTAACAAAAAAAACAAAACAAAAAAAAAAACCAAAAAACCAAAAAAAAAAAAACCAAAAAAAAAAACCAAACCAAAAACCAAACCAAAAAAAAAAAAAAAACACATCACTTGAAGAATTCCGACAGCAACGTCAAACATAGGGTAACAAGACTAGAAAGAGAAATAATTATATAAATCAAGATGCTGACTTCCAACACTACCTTAAAATGTTTGGAAGAATTTTTGTTTTTGATTAGTTTTCTACGAATTAACATTTTTAAGGTTATTTAATGCCAGAAAATATTTTAGATTGTAAGAATTTTTTTTTGAGATAATATAAAAGTCATACTAATTAACCCATAGCTGGGGGTTGAGAAGAAGTGGTTTCCTACTTTTCCCAAAGGCATTTGCGCGTAAGTGACTATAACGAAACCAATGGAAATTGGAACCCGGCACATCGATTAGTCAATTCCGAGCCATTATCTATTACACCACCCGTACATCCAAACTTACAGCACCTGGTATTCCCAAGCGGTCACCCATCTAAGTACGGATCAAGCTCTGCGTTGTTTAACCGTAATGTGGCTTTAAGCCTAGCCACCTGTTTGGAAGTAAATTGCCATTAATATTAAAAGGAACATTTTGGACGTGTCCTCTCATTGCACTAGTGAGAGGGATCGGTACCGACGGTTGCGGGGGATCGGGAAGTTTTGTTCCTAGCCTGGGTGTACATGCTCGGGCACCTCACATTAGACCGACCTTGTATCACCACCTGACCTCATGGGTGTGTTTGAGTAAATACAAATATTAAAAGGAACAATAACAGTGTTATTGAGAAATCTAATTAAGAAAAAGATTTATAGAAATTTCGACCGACAGTAACAATTATTTGGTCATTGAATGGCAAATGTTTCCTGCATAGAAGCGGTTAATTTCACTATTAACATATAGTACATTTATAATTAGTAAATTAAATACTTACATCAAATATTGCCGTCCTGGGTATGACGATAAACTACATCGGACAGCAAGGCCTTTAAACAAGTTTTGAGGAGTGTGGAACCACCTTTTATTTGATGATGTTCCCAGGTCCACCTTGACACGGGGTGGTAGAACCTGTCAGGGTTCCAGCTATGGGCAAATAGTTAACCATCCAAAAGGGGTCACAATACATTTTTAGGAAAAGAATATTACCAACAATAAAAATCTCTACGCTATGCATCTAAAGCCTTCTCAGGTGAGACTAATTCATCTTTGTTAAAAGGCATGAATCTACCAATTATCCCCATGGCTTTGGGTTTAATAACAGAGTGGGCTTTCTCTTGCTTTGAATAGCAGCCAGTCTAAAAGAAAGACTCAATTCAAACCAATTAGGCGTACTGACGTCGATTGCGAAGTAGAGAGTCTTCAGAGATTGATATACCATAAAACAAAACAAACCAAAAAGGGGTCAAAACACTATGAAAGCATAAAATAAATAAATAAATAAATAAATAGGTTTTAATACCAGCAATAGATTTTGTCAAAAAGAAAAAATAATACCAGCAATACATTTTTGAAAAAAAAAAAAAAAAAAAAAAAAAAAAAAATACTATCAGCAATAAAAAATCTTGTTGGCATTAAAAAATTCATTGAGGTTGACATACCGTAAAGCATAACCCAAAGCAACCAAATATTGGCAATGTGTCGATACGCCCTATTATCTATTTCTATTTGAATTTCTGTTTGAGTTAATATTGCTTACACGTGGACTGGTGGTGTAATGGTTAGCTGTTCGGATTGAGCAATCAGAGAACAGGGTTCGAATTCTGGTTGAGTTCATTACATTCACTTGCATGCTAAAACCCTTGGGAAAAGTATGAATCCATCCAGCCATGGATAAAATTCTGGAATTGAAAAAGATTCAAACCATCTGCTGTCTTAGGTTCATTAGGCAAAAAGCTCGAAGAAGGTAAATGCACCTCTAAGAGAAGGGACCGGATAACTTCAACAATTTCAGTGCAAAAGGAACTGGCAAGCCATTGCGATATTCTGCCTTGCATGTTAAGGTGAATCTCATTTGGATGTGAGTGGTGTCAGCACCAGCGCAAAATGCGTTAACTGAATAAATAATGATGACATGCGCACTATTGTCCTCATCTTTGTTGTTATCACGACCTTTCAGCAGTTGTGCCCTTCAGCTTTCACCAGACCCGGGTAACCTACAGAAAATTCCAGACTGAACCATTTATATATTTTACTGTGGGGTAAACTGTTCTAGTTCCACAGCCCGGGTCTAGGGTTGGTTGTTTTTGTTTAGCGATTTATCAATTGTGTGGGTTATTTAATTGCCAAAATCTAAGTATATTTTGTACGCAATTTTATTTTATTACTTTATAGTATCTCAATGGTTTTAGCGATACAAGTCTTACTAATTAACTCATAGGTAGGGGGAGAAGAGGTGGATGCGTGCATTTTCAAAGTTCATCTGCTTATAAAGGAATATAACGAATCCAACTGGAATTGGAACTTGAATTAACAGTTCCGAGCCGTTATCCATTACACCACCCGCATATCCAAACTTAGAGTCCCTGGTATTCCAAAGCGGACACCCATCTCGTTGCTGAACTACGGTGATTGTACGGAAACCAGTGTTTCAACGTGATATGGCCGTATGTTTAGGGAAATCTATTGGTCTTAATTGTTTGTACTGCTCAGTAATTACTCGCACATTTTTTAAGCATTTCACCCCAAGGAAGGCGGGATGCCATTAGTACGCAAGGGAGTTACAGAATGGGAGTGAGAGTAAAAAGGCATGATGGAGGAAAGCATGAAGAGAAGGACAGGAAACAGGCCAGGGCATCTAGAGATGTCGATTGACATTACATTTGAATAGTTGGAGATTATAGCTATCAGGGAAACAAGTAATAGGAAGGGAATTCCACAGATGGGAGGTGCGAGACATGAAGCTATTGGAGTAGAAGAGACGAACACTTTTAGTCGTTTCGACAGTGAATTCCACCGAGTTCAAGTACACCCTGTCCGGCTTGAGGGCGAGATGATTATATAAAACATTGACAATGGAATTGGTTAACCATACTAGAGTTCCAACTGAGGTTGCTTGCCTTTACTTGGTAGTGTTATTCATTGGAAAAGCCTGAATTCATATCTCTACGCTTAGCATCTGAAGCCTTCTCAGGTGAGACTAATTCATCTTTGTTAAAAGGCATGAATCTACCAATTATCCCCACGGCTTTGGGTTTAATAACAGAGTGGGCTTTCTCTTGCTTTGAATAGCAGCCAGTCTAAAAGAAAAACTCAATTCAAACCAATTAGGCGTACTGACGTCGATTGCGAAGTAGAGAGTCTTCAGTTATTGCTTTCTTTTTACAGATCTGACTGAAAAATGGTCTTTTTCAACTGTTTTCAGTAGTACCACTGCCTGAGTAGTTTCAATTCATCCACTGATTTCCTGTTTTTCGAGCTCATTCCTAGTGCTCCAACTACGATTGGAACGACTGTTACCATCATTTTCTATAGTTTGTCTTCTGATGTCGAGATACTTATGAATATTACTTTCTTATATTTTGTGGTGTCGGAAGATCGAAATCCACCATCAAACACATTTGTTCAGCAGTTTTATTATTATCATCATCTTTGATTTCTGTTGTATACTAATTACCTTCCGGGTCTCAACTCGAGACCTAAGGTCAGAAATGGCATGATATTTTCACCGAGTATTTTTTAGAAAAGAAAAAAGACAACCTATGACCACACATTTTACACAGATAACACCATTTGTAAGGTGTGAGCTGTACTTGTAAGTATATTTTTGTATTTTTTTCTCTCATTGGCTACTAGGTATCCCTTAAATGAGTTTATTATTATTACGTCAGTGGTAGTAACATACCAGCTCCAAGGCGTTTTGACTAGATGTCTGGCTATAAGGCATAGCGTAAAAACAAATGCACCGTTGTATAAACCCTTTAGGTAGGGCTGCAGATGATTCTCACGATGGCGACATATATCAATCATGAGAAAGCAATAGTTACAGAAAGAAATAGCTACTTCATAATTACATGAGCAATGCCTCGTTTTGTCTCGTCAATAAATTTAACGACAGATTTAAACTATTTCTTTCTGCAGTTTATTTAATGGTTGGAAGTTTTGTTAGAGTTATTTGAAACAAAAGCAAAGTATAAAAATTTACTAGCTTAAAACGGAACAAAAACACAAATGTTATGTTATATTCAAGCTAAAGAATTGTGTCAAAATTTCTTGGAGTACCCAAGTTGGATGCTCTTTCAAAACGAGAACAATCACCTCGCGTTGAAAATTTGATAACTGCGGTCTCCTGGAACAACAAATGATTTTAAAAAAATATGTTAGTTAATTTTTTTTTTTTTTAGTTCATTCATGTAGTAAAAGATATAGTTAATTCTTTTTTATATGTTAATTTTTTTTTTTCATCATATAGTAAATCTAAAATTTCTTGTTTTTTTTGTGGGGGTACTCTGTACTTAGTGAATCTTTCACACTGAAGGAGCATTGGAAAAAATGTTGATGTTTTCACAGGTCGATAAAATGAAAACGGACATCGTTTAGCAGCGAATCCTCAAAGAAATTTTTGAAAACACCTTAAAAAAAAAAAAAAAAAAAAAAAAAAAAAAATAATAATAATAATATGTAACAAAATCTTATTTAAAAGATGATGACATCTAATTTATAAATTTTTGAAGCACATCCATTACTGCGGGTAAGCAAATTGAACTTAACAAGGCTTACAGAACACCTATTCTCGTACGATCACCGAAGTTAAGCTCCGTCGAGCTTGGTCAGTATCTACATGGGTGATCGCTTGGGAATACCAGGTGATGTAAGCTTGAATGTGTGGGTGGTGTAATGGATAATGACTCCGGATTGGAAATCGAAGAACAGAGTTTCAATACTAGTCGAGTACGTTATATTCACTTATATTCGCAAATACAATCAGGGAAAGTACCTTTTCTTCCACCAGCTATGGGTTAAATAGCAAGACTTGTATCTGGAAAATTATCTCCCCCAAATTTTTACAATCTAAAAATATTTTCTGGCTTTAAATAACCTGCAAAGAGCCGGAAAAGTCAATCAATGAACTTAACAAATAAGCCTTTGATTCAGTAGAAATGCAGCTATTAATTAAGAAATTAAATTTTAATTAAAACCCCCAAAATTCTAAGCAGCAAGATGAATTGAAAAAGAAAATATAAAATTCAATGATTACTTTGCCCCGTATTTTCGTTCATGATTTTGCCAAAACATTTGAAAGGTTCGCAAAAGGTTTCAATGTTTGGTTCCTTCTCTAATCCACAAATCTGCCTGTGGATTCAGATGATTCTTAAACTGTCTTTTATTGACGAAAAAGAACAAAAAAAAAAAACTTAAAGTTATTTGCAATAAAATAGCACCTTTATTAATAAACACAATGAGTTATTATTTGTAGTGACGAACTGTCCCTCACCGTCTTAAGGCACACTCCATCATCAAGGATCAAAGAGCCAATGCGAACGATCGTTTCTTTAGTTGTATAGTATGTTCTACGCCAAGGCTAAACACAGTTTTGAATTCAGAGTTACTTTCTCCTAGACCGGTTGCCACCCAGAGCTTATAGAACCCAGTCTGTCCTATTTACCCATAGCTGGGGAGAGAAGAGGATTCATACCTTTCCCAATGTTATTAGCACGTAAGTGAATGTAATGAATCCGATTGGAAGTTGATCTTCGATTCCTTAATCCGAGCCGCTATCCATTACTCCTCAAAAGCACAAACTATTCTCTCGACTAAGACTAGATTCACTTTTACCTCCTAAGGGTGAGGATGCTCTAGGTTGGGAACAACTGAGAGATATATATATATATATATATATATATATATATATATATATATATATATATATATATATATATATATATATATTTTGCAGGGGTGGGGTATAGGACAATTTATTTTTGTAAGATGAGAATTACATGCGTTTAGAGAATTGATGTATTTTATTACTGTATAAGAATGTATCAACAGTAGCATCTTGTACGAGTCTATGTTTTTAAATATGTTGATGTATATACAGCAAGAAGAAATTGTTTTTTCACGACACTTAGAAAGACATCATATTCTATTATTAAATTATACTTCCACGAAAAAGCAAAAACAAATTAAAAGAAAGCTTTTAAATAAATTATTATTGATAAAGAGATAATAAAAAAACTGTACAAGCATCAATTTTCGAAATGATACAAATATTCGAAATATACCTTGCTTCTCATATGCGATGGCTAACTTTTACTACCTGTACATATATTACCTATCCTAATTCCATAATATTGTAACTATTAATTTAAATGTGGCGGGGTTGTATACAGTAGCGTGCAGAAGTGTGTGGAGCAAAGGGTGCGACGGTCCCGGTCGTCCATATCGGGAGGGTATCCAATCAAAGAATGAAATAAAAATTTATTTTGTATTTAGTTTGAATAAAGTTTATTTCAGGTTTCATCTGTTTTTATATACAGTGTAACCCGGATATAAGAGAGTTGTCGGGACCGGAGAAGAAGTCTCTTATATCCGGGTTTGGTCTATTTTATATAGATTAACACAGGCTCTAATTTGGGACCAGAGAAAATCTTATATCCGGGTTACACTGTATTTAAAATGTTTTCCTTTCTCACCTTTCTTAGTACCAAGCCCTATAGGCTCCCCTACTTGAGTCTTAGGGGCATATAATAAAGGGGTTGGTCCCGGGAATCACCAAACCTCATCACATCACTGGTTGTATGCCATCAGATAGACTAGGTTTCTTTGGAAAACAAAATTATGACGGTACCGTAATCTTGAATTTTCCACTCAACTCTTTCGAAAAGAAAGTTACGTCCTGCCTCTGTTTAAACCAAACACTATATCAGACATTTAGGGGGGGGGTAACCCCTCCTCACCCCCATAAAGCACCTAAACAAGTGCCCCCGAAAATGGTATTTTCTTAAAAAGCTAACCGGTACTAAGTAATATGTATACATCCCATTAAGAAACTTTGGTGCTTTTAATGTCAGTGAAGTTATATATGCAGGCTCAGTGTGTTGTGGTGTAATGGATATTGGCTCGGAGATCAGAGTTCGAATTCCAGTCAAGTGCGTTACATTTAAACGTGCAAACACCCCTGGAAAAGGTATGAATTAATGATTAATCTCTTCACCCACTCTAGCTGGTTTGAATAGCAGGACAGACTCGGTTCTTTATCTAGCCTTAGTTGGCAACCTGTCTGCCGCAGAAAGAAATAGCAACGTACCGTGGAAAAACATCTAAGTCAGTCATGTATCAAAAAACATGATCGCCCAAGCGTATATCACGTATAACTCTTAACTGACTGAAATATATATTTAAAAGGAAGTAAAATAAAAACATTACATCAGAAATAGAATGCTATTATTTTTCATTACTAGTCAGTGCTACTGAAACTTCCTTTTATTAGCCAAAACCTTTCAATGTAGATACAACATCAACTGCACAGCTAAGATATATGACAAATAGAAAGAGAGATACGTGAAATAAAGGAAGTAAATTATGTGTGTGACAAATGGATGTATTTTAAAATTATCATGTGAATTGTAAACTCTGGCAAATCATTATTTATAAGTTCATTTCTCAGGTGTAAAACCGGTACCTCAGCAACGGAGACCTACAGCATAACACCTTATTGGAATCGCCAGGAAAATTTCGCTATGCTATTTCGCAGTGCATTGTTACTGAAAGCAAAACCAATTTTGAGTCATTTACGCAGGTTTGAAAAGCCTTGGTTAATTAGGTTAAATTATTTTATCAATAAAAAGAGCGGGGAGAAAAATATTCAGTTTGAAAATAGCTTCCTTATTTGAGATAATAGTGTCATGAATAAAAAGCTTGTTTTTGACAAATGGTTGGGCTTAAGCTCAGAAATGGGAGTATAGATGGAGCAATTATTAACAGGTAAATGTTTATGTACCTGCAAAAGCGAAAAAAGTTAAGTACTTGTGCACTTCAACCTCTTCCGCGTTTTCGTATGTTTTTTTTTTTTTATAAATATGGATCAACGGAGATTTTTTTTTCAAATTTCAATTATTGAAAATAGTCTTAGACTACTATTCAACGAAACTGAGTCGAATTTTGCAAGAAAGAATATGTAGTCGTAGCCTTTAATATGGAGAGGTGCTAAACCACTGATCGTATGCAGTGTTCATACAAATAGACTAGACAGAAAAACTTAGAATGAGTAAGAAACACATCTAACTTTTTCAACGTAAGGATTTATGTGGTAACAGAAATTTAGATCAAGTTTTAGTTCTTGGCCCCATTCTATGACAATTGAGCTTTATCATTTGTTTAAAAATAAAATCCTTGCTTTTATTAATTTTATTAATTCTCAAATTAAACCAGAAACATCATCTTCCGGGTTTGCTTTTTCTTTTTTTTTGGAGGGGGTACTTGAATCATTAGCCTTCTAAAATGTTATAAAATCTTATATGCGGAAAAGTCTAAAGTCGCAGCCCATAAAAGTTCAAGGGGATGGGTTATCCTCATTGGGTTCCCACATACTTTCACATCTGTGCCATATCTAAGTTACACCATATAAGTCCAAGCGGCAAAATGTTTATTTAAAATAAAAATTGTTTACAGCATAATAAAAAAAAAAAAAAAAAAAAAAATCGTGTTATGTAAGGATCATATAACTAAATAAAAAAAATGTAAAATTGGGGATCTTTAATTTAATATCTAATTTTCCCCCTCTAATTTTTGGTTTTATGGCGTACTGTCTGAGACATGAAAGATGTTCTGGGCCAGTAAAAAAAAAAAAAAAAATGCTTAAACTGTCAGAGGACGCTTCTAAAGGGTACAAGTACATTAAAATTATTTAATGAAAACTTATTTTTATCTCTAGCTAAATGGGAAAAAAAGTTATGTAACTTTCTTATCACAAATATTACTTTCCCACCCCACAAAATATATATATCAAAATTTGTTTAGCTTGCCTCGCAACACTAACACTCAGAATGAAAATTTGCCAGAAATAGGGAGTGATTCACAATTCCTAAGCGCGGATGATATTCGAGGAAATTTTACAAAAAAAAAAAAAAAAAAATCTGTTTTTGGCTTGCTTATAGAGTTGAGCGCGAATGCGAACCCCACACTTAGAATTAGCGCACCCAGTCGCCCACATTTAGGGCGATGTCATGGTCAACCCAACTGGAGTGCAATGGAAGGCCCTCAGTCTGGGAGAATGTTAGTATACATAAATTAATTATTTTTATTTTGAATGATCGAAAGAAAAAAAAAATGGTAATTCTAAAATGTGCATAAATAAATAAAATCTGAATGAAGATTTGTCTTCTTAATTTATACAAATTTGGCACAAGGCCATGCTGAATTTCATTATTACGTATTATGCTTTAACTAGCTCTACTACACACAACCCATTCATGTTTTCTACATTAGCAGAACATTTACTCCATGTAAACGACACCAAATAAATAAAAGAAATGATATATTATGTACAATTGTAGGAGGTATATAAACAGGTGAAAAAAGCTGATGGGGGAGGGGCAAAAACTGCCAATTTGAAAATAAAGCGTGGTTATTATGGGTCCCGCCCTGAAGCCCAACCCATGATAAGGGTAAACTCAAAATTTACTTTTCTTAAAGTGGCTGAAAACCCAACTACTTTTTACCAGAAATTACATCAGAATAATAAACCTTACCTACTGTTTTATTTTAAGAAAAGTAAAGGAAAAAAGAAATATATACAGACAAAAAAGGGTAAGTACTTACCGAGTGCGCTGATCGATACGGCTTGTTTTTTTAGAAGTTTATGAGATTCAATTAATCCAAACCACCCGTTAGGATATACGGGTGGGATTTGTCCAATGTTTCTCCTCCGCCGTACTTGGTTGGCGATCTCCTTCGCGCTGAAGGTGCCGTCGTGTACATATCCAGACGTGCCCAAGCCTCTCACACGATCCATATACGTAAAGAAAAACTGATAGACATATTTTAAGACTCGATAGGCCAGATAGATTAAAGTGACATAGACTAAAACCCGTAGGCAAGTAATAAGGTCAATGTTGCTCCAGAAAATGAAGAGGAGGTGGCTCCAACTGTGCCCAGTGACAGTAGTTACAGCATGTTTACAAAATTCTTTTACCTCCAAAAGAGGTACGCTGAAAAGTTTGAGTCCTAAATTATCACCGAAAGCTGCGACAACGACAAGCGCGAAAAAACTCAAGATAGTGAACGTTATAAGAAAAATAGATTTTAACCAAGCAGGCATGATTAATAACGATTTACGACAATAAAAGAAAAAAAAATGTGATAAATAACACACAAGTTAATCGAAAAAATATGCACGTGGGTTGGATGTATTACAAGAAAAATTTATAAGCAGGTGGCATTTTTGCAAAATCGAAATAAGTGTATTTTTTTTTTACCTTTCTTTTTCCATCGTAAACGAATAATTAAAACGAGAAAAAAATTCCGAGTGAGGTTTGATTAAAAAAAGTCGCTAAATGTACAAGTTATTTATATATATATATAAAAAACAAACAAAAAAAAACAACACTTTTCATAAAGATTTCTTTTTTTATCCTCTGTATGTCAAATAAATACTTAATTCAGATTTCTTCTTGTTTCCAATAAAATATTAGAGATTGTAAACTTCCCCCCGAAAAATCTGTAATTGCAAAGAGACGGGAAATATTGTCATGTCAACTTAGACGGTCGTCGGAAAAATCTTTACTATCCAAGCGCTATTTAACGACTTAGTTAATGTAGTCTATCAACAATACCTCTACCTTCTTCATCTTACTCTCCTCCCATTTCATTTTATTTTTTTTCTCTTGCTACCATTTGGTGTTGGTCACGTGACATACCCCACCTCCTTTTTTTAAAAAAAATCTTTCCTAACTCTTCTTTATGCTCTTGTCCCTCTGCCTCCACTTCTCACTTATTTTCTTCACTCGATTCCACTCTCTTTACTCTTCATGATGTTCAGTTTATTTATTCATATTATGTTTATTTAATCGTATTACTATTTGTTCATTCATATTTATAAACGAGGTAGACGGGAAGATTGTGGTCCGCCAATATTACAAGTGGGAATAACCTGCCTGCCCCGAAGCTGATTAGTAATTCATTCAGGATCCGGTTTTTTTTTTTAGGCTCGAACACCGGTGACACCTACGCAACTAATCCTAACATTAAACATTCAATTCAATAAAAACAACACATCGATCTCTATTCCTTTTCTTCTCATTTTTAACATGGACACACAAACTTGTAACATTGAATAAATATTAATATCGACTAAAAAAAAAAAAAATAACCAAGAAAAATAGCCGATTCAATTAACATGCGCAGTGATGATTGTCCATGCAACAACGACAAAGTGAGAAAGATTAAAAAAAGAAGAAGCATGTAACTAAGTTGTTACTTTAAAGAAAAACTAGACGCAAGATACGACAAAAAAAAATCCTTAACAGGGGTTAACTAAATAAATTACGAATACTCGCTTAAGTGATGGTGTACACATGAGCGCATTTACACAAAATTAATGTCAACTGCAGCAGCATTAAAGAAAATACACACTTGCATACAAGCGGAAACGAATAGCAACACGCATGCGCATACACACAAAACACGCACAAGTGAACGAACATTTTTTGCCAAGCTATTTTCTATTCTTCCGTTTTTTCTTCTTTCTTTCCTTCCCGCTTGTTTTCAAATTTGAAATCTTACTTCGTTTAAGAATTTATTCATTTTCTTTCTTTCTTTCTTTACCCAAATTTGTTATTATCCTTTAACAACAAATTAAATTAAACATTATTATCACTATCAACAGAAATAAATGATAAACATCAATATTTTCCATCTATTTAATTCGCCTCGCGAGCTAGGCCTCTATGATGATAAAATCATTATCATCATCACAGATGTGTGTGTATATATATATATATATATATATATATATATATATATATATAGGCATTAGAAAGAGAGAGAATAGGGAAAATTAATGACGATAGCGATTTAGCCACGCCTATCTCCATTGCTGATTGGTCAATCGGTGAAGGCTGTTCTGTTTATTTTACTCCTGCAAACTGACTTCACGACGTCACACTGGACGTCGAAAAAAGTATGGGCTTTTCGTCATTTATGAAACAAAACATGCTATCGACACTACAGACAAATATAGTCTTGCAAACATAACGTAGGTATGTAGTTTGACAAAAATTGTATAAATAAAAAATAAAAAATTACAATAAAATAGTGACAGTCTAAAAAAAAAAAACAATAAATTTACATTTGATTGAAGTGAAGAAAATATCATACGAACTAGTCTAAAACAGACAACTAAAAAGTAAATGTGTGTTTATATGGGGACTTTTTAAATTATAGTAAAATTAAACATAAATATGTCAATTTATTTATTTTTTTAAAATTTATTAATTATTATTATTATGCTAAATCTGTCGTCCTGTATCGGAAACAAAATTTTACAGATTTTGCTAAAACTGCAGATTAAAATGTGAGTTTAAGATTTTAATCCTGTTTGTCAACGCGCGAGCAAGTGAAAAAAGATTTTAATTTTACGTATCAATATTTTTCTTATTTAGGGAAAATAACGTAGTTGATGTTGTTAAATAACTTTTTTAGTTTTAACCTGTAACTTTGTTAAAATTGTCTGACCACCGACAATCTCGTATTTTTTTGTATGACTTTCATTCAGATTTAGGCTAAAAATTTATTGCATAATTAATCATCAGTTTATTTCGCTACAACCAGAAATATTTAAGGATCTAGACCTGAAAGTAACTGAAACTAAATTGGTGGTACAGTAGTTAAAAGTTAGACGGCAAGTGGTAACTTAAACCTTGCCTTCATATATATTGTATTTATACAAATGCAATCGGGACTAATATAGAATCGTAGGTATTGTTATTTTTTTTTTTTTTTTACTCCTCTGCCAGAATTTTCTTTTTTACTCGATATGCAATTATTGAATGGATGAAAATATTGATGTATTTATTTCATAGTTACATACAAGCCAAAATCATGTGCACTTTGAACACGTTGAAAAAAAAATGATACCCTTGTTTTCAACAATTTACCAAAAATCGGGGAATTAACAGATTTCATTTAGGTTTTCATCATTTATTCATTAATAAAGGAGTTTTAAATTAATTTTTTTTATTATTTACGTTTTGTTGAAATACTTTTTAATTTTTGCATTTTTTTGCTTCATTTTGGTGTTTCCAGTTTGATGGTTGGTTCAATTTGTTTATCGGCATGTCAACCACTGTGGGTTATTTAATACTGAAATCTAAATGATTTGAAAAAGTGTATGGCTTCAACTAAATATATTTTGAACGCAATTGTATGTTTTGAATTGCATATAAAATGCATTGCTGGTCATTTTACTATAAATAAGTATTGATTTTTTTTATATATAAAAATGCATTGCTGGTATTTTTACTATAAAATATTCTTTTAATATTTACATAGTGTTTTTTTTTGTTTGTTTAGGGGCTCACTATTTGTCCATAGCTGGGACCCTAACAGGTGCTACCACCTCAGGTCAGGGTGGAACTGGGGGCAAGAGCAATTAAGAGGTGGTTCCATGCAATATTATTGGTCCTGACTCGGCTGCAGTCACTTTCACACAGCCGTAATGTTGTCTTCCTGTGCCTTTTCTATAAATACTTTCATGGTAATTGTTCAAATAAGCACTCTGCTATGGTTCTTAGACTTTATGAATTTAAACGCAGGACTAAATTGATGATAAGGTCTCATCAATTTACAGTTGAATTGGCTAGAGGTAACAGTTTCGTCTCTCGCATTTCTCACTTGTGGAACTCTCTTCCAGCTCGATGCTTTCCGGCCAACTTCAGTCTTTTGAATTTAAATGCAATGTCAATCATTATCTACGGTATTCATGATTACGCTTCTATTGTTCTCGCTCCTTCATAATGTTTTCACACCTAGTAACCCTTTGTGTCCTAGCGGCTTTACTGTCTTGCTTGGGGTAAATGTGATTAAAAAAAAAACAGATTAAGCTTATCTAGCAGTTCAAACAGTTTATATTATCAAACGCATTTGCATAATCTATGAAACAGAGACATACATTCTTTTTTATTCGTATTGCTCTTTCTGGTATCCTTCTGAGTATAAATATTGTATTCCTTGTACCAGTGTCTTTGACGAAACCGCACTTTTCTTGTACTATATCTGATATAATTCTTCTGTACGCTCTAGTCCTGAGAAGATGGATGGAAGTTTTGGGGCTCATTAGGTTGATTATCCGATGAAGTTCACATTCACTTGCACTTGACCTCGCTTTGAAAATGGGTCCCCAGATGTCTTCCGGTATATTACCAGTGTCGTCTATTTCACTTCCGACTTTAATATTTCTTGTCCTTTCATATTTTTGTGTATTGTGAGTTTTCCTCTTTCATGGAAAAGTTTTCCGCTGTATTTGTTTCATCTCAGAATTCGGATGATAAGTTTTTTATGTGGCTCATTAGATTGTCCGACAGGGTTCACATTCATTTACACCTGGCTTCTTAGGTAGCATTATGAAAATAGATCTAATTAGGTCTTCTGGTATATCACAACTGTTGATTATTCATTTTTTATGTCTTTAATTTTGTAACAAAATCATCTAAAGCTGCCAGCATTTCTTTTACAATTCTTAATGCTTCTGCTGCTTTGTTCCTGTTCAATTTAGCCAGTGCTGATTTCACTTCAGACTTTAATATTTCTTGTCCTTCCATATTTTTGTGTATGGTGGATTTTCCTCTTTCATGGAAATGTTCTCCACTGTATTTGTTTCATCTTTGAATTTTTTCTTTTTTTGTATTTTTACTGAATTCATTTTCTATCAGTATGCAGGTGGTTTGCTCCCAGTATAAATTCTAGATTATTATTCCCCAAATAAATCAGGCTTATCTAGCAGTCCAAATAGTTCTTTGTGATGTACTTTATCAAACACTTTTGCATACTCTATAAAACATAGGTATACATCCTTTTGCATCTGTATTGCTCTTTCTGTTAGCATTCTGAGCATAAATATTGCATTCCTTGTTCAAGTGTCTTTAACAAAACTGCACTGCTCTTGTCCTATTTTGGATCTAATTCTGCTACACATCAGAATTCAGATAAGTTTTTTATGTGGCTCATTAGACTGATTGTCCGACAGGTTTCACATTCATTTGCACCTGGCTTCTTATGTAGCATTATGAAAATGGATCTAATTAGGTCTTCTGGCATATTACAATTGTTGCATAATTTATTTATTATGTCTGTAATTTTTTTCAATGCCGAAATCATCTAAGGCTGCCATCATCTCTTTTACAGTTCCTAATGGTCCTGCTGCTTTGTTCTTGTTCAATTTATTCAGTGCTGATTTCATTTCAGACTTTAATATTTCTGGTCCTTCCATATTTTTGCGTCTTGCGGATTTTCTTGCTTTGTTGAGTTCTCTGATCTATTCCCTCCATCCTTATAAAGCTATACACCATTTCAAATAAAAGGTTAGGAAATAAATCCCCTATCAATAGTGCAAACAGCAATAACAGCTACTGTACTTGAGAAACGTATTTTCCTGAAAAATTGTTTTAATAGAAAGATTTTATAAATTTAAACCGAAATTAGCACTGGCTGATCGGTCAATGAATGCCGAATTTTTTCCATATAAAGAAAATTTAATATTACCGTTACCATTGCCAGTTTTCTAAAGAGATGCAATATGTACGGCATATTTGTTTTAAGTTCTTCAAACAATGTACGTATAATGAAAAACTGAACCCTTAATCTCTTTTCGATTACGTCACTATTTCCAATGATAGCTGCACATTTTAGTTGTTGTTGCTGTTGGAAGTCTTCAAGTGATCTAGTTTTTGTTGCTTGGTAAAGTTCATTGTGATTCTGTAGCGCCATAAGATCTGATGAAAGGTTGTCTTCTTTAAAACTTATTGGATTCATTTAGTTCAAGACGTTTTTAAACATTGATTCGAGAAAACGGTTGTACATAGTTGATAGTTTGGACATTTCTGAAGGAGTTGAAGGTCACGCATGACATCGATATAATTATAGCGTAAAGTTAATTGCAAATATAATAGGAGTTAATGAAAAGTTCTCGGCTTGACCAGGTTCCCAAAATCTGGCCAAATATAAGATTATATTTCTTTCTCAAGGAATTTTTAGTCGGACTGAGAACTTTTCAGCATCCCTAATATTTAACAAGCTTACGTCATGTGTAAAAATAATAGTATAGTTTTCTCTACATTGTTATTTTCATTTTGCACATTTGATAGTTGTTGGACTTAGAAGGATTATAAACCAAAGATGGAAAATTTGGCACAGAAATCCGAAGGTGCATTGCAATATGGAAAGACACCTTTTAGAAGCTAAACAAAGTATTAAGAAACAGGGAAAAAATATCTTAGAAACAAAGAAAAGAATGCTTAACTACTATGTCATATCTATCCTCCTATATTTGTAGTGAATGCTGGACAATTTCATCACAGATGAAGACTAGATTTGAAGGAACAGAGATGTACAGTGTAACCCGGATATAAGAGAGTTGTCGGGACCGGAGAAGTCTCTTATATCCGAGTTTCTCTTATATCCGGGTTTGGTCTATTTTGTTTACATTAACACAGGCTCTAATTTGGGACCAGAGAAAATCTCTCTTATATCCGGGTTTCTCTTATATCCGGGTTTGGTCTTTTTTGTTTACATTAACACAGGCTCTAATTTGGGACCAGAGAAAATCTCTCTTATATCCGGGTTTCTCTTATATCCGGGTTTGGTCTTTTTTGTTTACATTAACACAGGCTCTAATTTGGGACCAGAGAAAATCTCTCTTATATCCGGGTTTCTCTTATATCCGGGTTACACTGTATTTCTACAGACGTATGCTGAGAATTTTATGGAATAAATATGTGAGCAATGTAGTAGTTTTAAGGGGAATAGCAACCAAAATGGACATATATGCTGACAATGAGAAAGAATTGAAATTTATGGGACACATTATGAAGACGGGGGGGGCGGTAATTTAACATTGACAGAACATACTGAAGGAGGGCAGAACAAGGGGAAAATCGAGTAACCAACTTAAAGGATTTGTATGAAAGAATATAAGAGAGGGAACAAAGTGAGGTGCTGAAAAAGTGCAAACGTTGCTTAAAAGTACAAACAGGAAATTCTGGTAGAGCCACGATCGCCCACGTTATGAAAGGACATGGCAGATGAAAGAAGCTAAATGGACATTTACGCCTATCGAGTGACTGATTAGTTTTCTACGGTTTATCAATCCTTTGCGGGTTATTGAAAGATATAAAATATTTTTTTAGATTGTACGATTTTTTTTTGTTGCGGATAAAATGGTTCAATGACACGAGACTTACTAATTAATCCATAACTGGGGGTCGAAGCGGTGGATTCATACCTTTCCTAAAGGTATTTGCGCGTAAGTGAATATAACGATCCCAACGGTAATTGGAACTCGGCTCTCCAACTAACAATTCCGAGCCATTATCTATTACACCACCCACACATCTAGGTTTACAGTATCTGGCATTCCCAAATAGTCACTCATTTAAGTATTGATCAGGCTCGACGTTGTTTAACTTTGATGATCGTAAGGTGTTTCAACGTTATGTGACCGTAAGCCTACATAGATACATAGATAGATAGATAGATAGATAGATAGATATGAACAGTGACATGATAGATAGATAGATAGATATGAACAGTGACTAGATAGATAGATAGATAGATATGAACAGTGACTAGATAGATAGATAGATAGATAGATATGAACAGTGACTAGATAGATAGATAGATAGATATGAACAGTGACATGATAGATAGATAGATAGATAGATAGATAGATAGATAGATATGAACAGTGACTAGATAGATAGATAGATAGATAGATAGATATGAACAGTGACTAGATAGATAGATAGATAGATATGAACAGTGACATGATAGATAGATAGATAGATATGAACAGTGACTAGATAGATAGATAGATAGATATGAACAGTGACATGATAGATAGATAGATAGATAGATAGATAGATAGATATGAACAGTGACATGATAGATAGATAGATAGATATGAACAGTGACTAGATAGATAGATAGATAGATAGATAGATAGATAGATAGATATGAACAGTGACATGATAGATAGATAGATAGATAGATAGATAGATAGATAGATAGATAGATATGAATTGACTGTGAAAGAAAGAAACAAGCAAATAGATACGCGTACAGTCGCCGTCCTGCTCACAATCTTTTTAGTGCATCAAAATAGTAGGTATGTACGGTCTATTACAGTAAAGATGATCTAAACAATTACTTAAACTAGCAATTCCCAAAAGGTAGTAATTAATGCCAAAGGGATTATTTAAGTTTTTCCTATGCTATTTGCAGCTATGAGTTAAATAGTAGAGTAGACTAGGCTCTCTAGTCTTGGGTGACAGTCAGTCTCAGAGAAAGACAACTCTAAATTCAAAACTGTAGAAAGACAACAGTAAACCACTTGCCCAAGACGACATGGTAATTCATAAATAGCAAAGAAGAAGAATCTGTAGTAGGCCGTGACCGCCTACGCCCTGAAGGGACATAGTATTAAAAATAAAATAAAACAAAACTCAAGAGGAATTTATATTACTATTACTAATCATTCCAAAATTAATAAGTATTATTTACACCAGGGCTTCTTAACATGGGGTCTATGGTTTCAGAGTCTGTGAGGATTAGATAAAAAATTAATATTTATATTCGCTATACAGCCCTTGTTCCAATAAACGGTTTCCCATTGAAAGAAATAAAAGAAAATGCATTCTGCCACTGCTTGAAAGAAAAACGCACCCAGCCACTACTTATAGTAACGACCGTTGGGTTCATGTTTACCATTTAAAATTGTGTCGTCATTATCTGTACGACCGCTATCTTTTGCCACTTCATAAGAGCAAATGATAATTCACATTTTTCATGGATTATCACGGCTTGATTATCTTCTCATATACCGATGAGGATTAATTGAGCACAATTTCTTTCAAGCGTGGCTGGCTGAAAAGTGATGTTTGTGCAGTGTGCATGAGGTTGCAGTATAGATAAATGCCTGTACAAGTGTTGTGAAAAACCAATCAGACTTTGTGTATCTGCTTGTCCTCATTCTTGTTATTGTTCTCACAACGTTTCGGCCGTTGCACCGTCCGGCCTTCATCAGGTGTATGCCAATCCGGATAACCCAACTGGGGTAGATCTCGTTCCACTGCTCATGTCTATGGGCATTTCGTCTAATTCTTATTTGTTTAGTATTGTTCAGTGGATAATTTGGTAACGGCTCGGGATGAGAAATCGGAGAACCAAGTTCGAATTCCAATCGGGTTCGTTAAATTCACTTAGGTGCAAATGCACTTGAGAAGGTATAAATCCACAAGATGGCAGCCAGTCTACAGCAGAAAGAAACGGCTGACTACTGTGGGAAAAATCTTTGCGTAGTAAGTCGTAAATCTAAGGAGACATGATCGCCCAAGCGTATATCACATATGGCTGACTGCTCAGTTATAGCTCGTCCTGTCCCCACTGAGTACACACTGCTCGACCCAGGGATTGAACTCGCAATTACTATGTCACGTTTTAATCCATTAGGCTGTTGTCCCGTATTTCTTTGAAACTTATATGAGAATTAACCACTGCTATCACATATGGTTGAATTTCATTAAAAATCAGTTTACATTAGTTACATTATTCGGACTGTTATCTTCATCTTCATTGCCAAACATGATTAACATTTGAATCAACGGGGTGCCATTATGAACGAGGAGACAACTGACTCGCAGTGAATCGTTATTGCCATTCTGATTGGTTAATAAGGGAATGAGCTAAGGGAGATAATGAGGTTTTTACTTACTCAATACATCACATCATCTCGCTTGAATAAGTTAGTATTACTAATTAACTTAATAGGATTTAATTTTTGTAGACTACCTTCATGTTCGTTTGACATTATGCTAACCATATGTTTATGTGACACGCTTATTTGTTGATTACACAACCACTTCTGGTCACAGTTCTGTTAGAATCTGATTGTGGCTCATGTGACAGTGGCTGCTAAGTTGTGATTGGTTCTTTCTTGATTGATATTGTTCTGACTTGGAACTGATGATCACCCTCTCTCGATGGTCATATGTACCTTCAGTTCCTTCTATATTTATTTCCACGTTGCATGTTCTCGGTTGAGATCCTTTATTTGCACTACTCACCAAGACACCATACTAACATACTTAACTCGCAGATGTATGGGGGCCCGAAAATCTTTTAAGTGCTTAGGACCCCTACAGGTTTTAATCCGGCCCTGATCGTGACGGGGTTTGAGCGTACTGACCTCGTCCAGACGGTTGTTCACGCTAGATAATGCGCTCTTTCTACAGTATAAACTACACGTAGTCTGCATTTATGGCTGGCACCAGCCAATCATATTACTGTGAGGGGGGACCCAGGTGTATGCATATTCATTACATCAGACATGAATACATGTATTCTCCTTTAATATGAGGTTTAAACACCAGGGTAGAGTGCGTTTTATTGCCTTGGTTGCCAGCCAATCTAATAGTCAAAACTGTGGAGAAGGCAACAGTAAATCGCTCAAATAGCTTTCCTAAGGAGTCATGGCAATTCACAGATACTAAAAAAAAGGAATTTGTGAATGGTCGCCTAGGTTTTGAATGAATACGACAATAAGTAAATAAAAACTTAAATGGCAGCTTACAAAAAAAAAATATTTTTGTACTTAAATTTTATTTCTTAATGAAATTATATAGTTTATTTATCAAAACTGCCTTATTAATATTAATTTGGTTTGTGAATAATGACCTTACTAAAAATATAGACAATCCTACCGTTAAGGTTCCGAAACCCCCGACAAAAAAAAAAAAAGAAAAAGAAAAAAGGAACAGTTTTAGAAAGGAAAGGAAAGGAAAATCCAGCCAAGATTTTGAGCTCATGCAGTAAGGACATTTCTTAAAATAATAATATCTTTAAATAAATATTCCTTAAAATACTCACTCCGTAAAATCACCATTCCTTAAATAATCATTCTTTAAAATACTAATTGACGGTAAAACATAGTTTGATCGCTAGCGATTGAGCGTTCATGTTTTGGAGAAGGAAAGTATTCCAAATAAGTGATTATTTCAATTAAAACATTTTGTCTGTATATAGTACTGGAAAATGTGTGTGTTTTTTACTATACGGGGCCAAACTAATCCATGTACAATTCTCAAATATGGTATGCATACTTATTAAACCCAGAAGAATATTTTAACGTCAAGGCAACATAAGGAAAATCGGATGGGGAGGCTCTACCTTTTGTATAATATATGTATACGGGAAGAGTGCGTTGGGTTTAGAGAAACCGCGGATGAGTTACACCGTTGGTACAGTTGGTATGACGCTTGAGTCGTATCGTAACGGTCCGGGTTCGTTTCTCGGTAGTGGTTGCGCATTGCTGATGAGTCCCGAATATATGACGAAATGGCCGGCCGTCCAGTGCATTCTGTTGAAGATTCTTCTAGTTCAATGAATTCTTATTTATTTATTTTTTTTTTATTTTATATATATATATATATATATATATATATTTATATATATATATATATATATATATATATATATATATATATACCATATATATATATATATATATATATATATATATATATATACAATAAATATAACTAAATAAAATCACAACACATGGACATCGGATAGTTTAAACAATTTTGACAATAGTCACACCATATTCAGTCATTTGTTACAATAAAATATATAATATATAATACAATAGTTAAACATACAGACCTTGTCGGTTCTTTTAATATATATATATATCGTTAAAGGAAATAACATTTTCTTACACACACACACACACACACACACATATATATATATATATATATATATATATATATACAGGGTGATTTAAAAGTAACTCCCTATTTTATGTATCATGGACTCATCCGTTTTGTAAAAATTATAGTTAGATGGGAGAGTCCAATTTACATAAAATAGGGAACTACTTTTCAATCGCCCTATATATATATATAAAATTTATTAGAAAATTATAATATAAATATGTTACAAAATCACTACAAAAACTTCCATGTTGTTTCAACATTTCTGGTGTCTTATCAAGTGATGGTGTTGAATGTAGAATAAAAAGGGTTTTAAAAGGTTCAAATGGACCAAACACCCCTCGCTGCTACATAAACTGCAATGGCCAATCTAAATACAAGTATATGAGAATTAAAAAACTTGACAACGAACCTTATATATATATATATATATATATATATATATATATATATATATATATATATATATATATATATATCTCGATATATGTATATTTTTATTGAAGACGATTGACAAGGTACCTCGATTGAGCTTTTTATTTATCTTTTCTTGTGTTCGTCTGTTTTTTTTCTGGACATAAAGTGTGTAAAAATTGCCCAGACGTTCTATTCGAGCTGTATTTGAGCCTTTCTTTACAATGTGTGCTATATAATATCTGTCTTTGTGTCTTTCGTCACGAGTGTTAAATAAAATCTATCTTTGAGTATTTCGTTACAATGTGTGTTATATAGTATTTTGAACCTTCTTTACAGTGAGTATTATACAGTATCTATTTTTGAGCTTTTCTTTAAAATGAGTGTTATATGTTGATTTTATATAACTTTCTCTTGTCTTATCATAATAATCATATTTTGGTTTGATGTGTTGTTCAATATATATACGAATTTCACTAAGTTTCGATAAGTGGTAAATTAACTTACGACAGAATGTGGTGTATGTTTTGTCAATAAAATAATTTAGCAATGTTTTCCGTTTATAAATGTTGATGCCAGTCTCCTAAAACCACAAGAATTCATAAACAATATGAAGATGTTTTTTTTTCATGCCTTGTATTATTAAAAATAATTAGGTTAAATGCTTTACATTACTTATATGCAAACTGGAAAAATGTGATAAAAAAAGGAAATAAACAGACAAAGGTTATCGGTCGATTTCAAGTAAATTAATTCTTTCTCCCTGAACAGTATATGCCATACGTGTCATCATGGCGTCGGTCACTTTCCCATCGCCGTAAAGTAGATTCCCTCTGCCTTTTCTATAAATATTTTCATGGTAGTGCTTCTGAGGAGCTTTCCTCTTTAGTACCTAGACGCTACAAATTTAAGCTACATTGGCGGCAGAGTCTTACCATCTTACA